GCTGCAATAGATAGTCCTTTTTTAACAAATGTATCCCACTTTCTAATCAACTGGATAAATGACTTCCCCTTTCACTGCAGTTATTATGATTTGAATTCTGTGTATCAATTATTGATGCAAACATTAACACGACCTGATGTCCTAATATGTTCCAGATCAAGGGTTAATCCAGAGCGACTCACAGCACAGTGGCAGTGAGTTAATGTATAATCTGCTCACAGAAGAAAGAACAACAAGCTACGAGAGGCTTTTCTGTCCATTGATAAAGCAACACCGTTAGTAACAAGTCGATGTGAGCGTTCTCAACAGTATTGTCTCAAGTGTGAAGTTAAAATCTGCTGCAGAGTCTTTCATTTTCCTTTTTTAATCTCCTTTGGAGCTGAGTCTTGTTTATTTCTTCGACATCGAGTGCATGTTTCTGTTTCTGTTTCTGCAACTACCAGCTTTCACTCAACAGTACTTTTCCAAAGCACTTGGACATGAAACAGAAACATAAAAAGCCTTCAAATAACTACGCAGCCGTGTGTTGCCATGCACACCGTGTCCAGAGAGTGTTAGCAGTAAACACTTTATTTATTTTTAAAGAAATGCTTGGAGATGATTTATATTTGCAGATCAGGCCGTGCTGCAAAGGTAATAATAAGACTCTAGCTTGCTAATGATCATTTAAACAACATAAGAGGGTGTTCACCTTGAGGCCATGAATATGATTATTTAACAAAATGCATGCACGGTATTAAAAGAGCAACATTGTAATTACTATTGTTAAGAAAACCTTCCAAACTCAACAACAATTCAGGTCATTTCTAATCTTTTATCAATAAAATCCATTTAAAATGTCTTACTTGGGGCCCCCATCATCAAATGACAACCATATTTGTTACAAAACCACAATTATCTCAACGTTTTCTGACCTACTGCCTTTATATTTAACACTTTTAACGCCCAAAGCTAAATCTCTGCCACGCTAACCACAAGCTAGTTCAATTGAACAATATATCAAGTTCTTAACCAAACAACAACAACAAGTGGTGTATTTTATAAAAGAGGCTTACTACATCCTGTGGGGACTATGCATATACAGATTTAATAGTAATCTAGCCTGTAGTGTCTGACACAAATTGACCCCAAACAACGTTAGCTTGATGCTACATTGCTAGCAGGGCAGAAAAGTCCTTTAAAACACAATATTGGCTTTGATCCTGATGCAGAGAATCCAGACTGACAGACGGACTATGACCAGCCGGTGAACTCTTACCCCTGTGACCAACTGTAGACTTTTACCCTGCCAGCTGCTGGGAATCCGGCAATTGACATCCTCTTTACAGTGCTGTAAATGCATTTATAGTTCAGGAGAGGAAGGAAAACTCATTCTGGCTGCAGCCTGCTGCCTGGGGGGTGCAGGTGGAGGGCTGACGGGGTTAAGGGGATTGAACCAAATCTAGACACAGAAGCAACACTTGTTGTCCTGTTTTTTCTACTTCTGCAGAAGCTGGCGTAACACATGACAGCCAAGAACAGAGAACAAACCCAATGTGAGAGTTTTTACCAGTGTAACAGGAGACACTCAGCTCCTGCTCATTGAAAACACACGTGGTGGTTGCACAGTTTCATGTTAGCAAAGCATGTTGTCATATGCTGAAGAATCTGAGCATTATTAAATGTTTCTCTGACAGGTTGTTGTCATCTGTTATGGATGTATTATACCAAAAAGGACGCATAAGCAGAAAGAACATGGCAGGAGATTGTGTTTCACCCCCGCCCTCCCTCCCTTTCCCCAGGTCAATAACCTGTAAAGATTTAGTGTTTAGGGCCCATTATTTCCTGCTTTCAAGTCACACATTGTCAAAGGCAATGCTGAGTTTATTAAGGCTGGAGTCCAGGGCTTTAGTGGAAAGCAGGGAATACAGTGATCACCTGGGCAGTAAAACGGTGACAAAGAGAAACGGAGGGAAACTGGATTTAATACGGTGGACAAAACAAACCATTTGTTTGAAATTACTCAGAAATCTAGGTGTTTTTTTGAAGAGATAGGAATCTGCAATGTCATGGGGCAACGACTAATCATCAATGCAATGACTTAAAAATAACTTTGTTAAACTATTGTCAATGGGAGTGAGTGCAGCTGAGGAAAGAGGCCAAGCTGAGCCAACAGGAACCACGGGGGTCGTGGCTCGGCACATGGTGGGATATCCAAATGGATCAACAACAGGAAATGCTTTAAACACGCATTTCTCTATTTTACTGCACTCAGGTGCATTGATTAACATAGTTGTTTATTTTTGTTTGATTCCAAAATCCTTTCCTAAACCTTCCACATAAAACATAACAAGTGCAAAGACTTCAAACGGGCAAATCGGATTAATTAAAGAGATATCACAACGAGAGCTATTTAGGGGAATGAACTCACCTCGAATAGCGCACAACTTGCAGAATGATTAAGCTCGAGTTATCTGCCAAATGACACCATACAGAGGTTACTAGCACTTTTCCATTAAGTCATCTGTTTTTCCCCAAATGAGGTGTCAGGGCGAGGATATTATTATTTGGTTGAGTCGGAGTCAGAGAGAGAGATGTTCAGATTCCTCCCAGACCCACAGCACAGATGACATTGAGATCCAATTAGTTATCATTTATGAGGCTGAGCTCAGCTGCCTTCATCAGCTGCTTTCACTTTGAGCTTCAATAAAGTTGAAAGACATTGCTCACGGCGTGCATACTGCATTATGCATACACACATACAGTCCTAAATAAAGAACAGACGAGGGGGAACAGGTTGTGCTGACTGGAGTGTTTCAGAGTTTAAAAGTTACCCAGGCGTCAACGTACTTAACTTACATGACACTTAATATAATACATTATGCATTGAAGGCTTTCGGACCACCCTGCAGGTAGTGTATTATGCTTAAGTGGTACTTAGTGTAATATCATACTCAATTTAACTCACATTACTAACAACATCACTTAACATGCGTGGCCTAAGTTAAGTTGCAAATGTACTCACGTTAACCTAAACTATGATCTTTTCCAAAACCTAACTTAAGTTCTTTTGTTTATTAAAGTGAAAATTTCCCTAAACCTTATGAAGTTTGACTTAATAAACTAGTTATACATGTTACATACTTAACTTGCGTAACTGCATAACGTTACCTTTAATCACGTATAAAAGCCTTTCAGACCCTGCAAGATAAATGATTAGGATAAAGTGGGACTGAGTGCATTAAACAGTTAAAGTCCTTATCTTGCGTAATTTACTGTAGCTGAAAGATCATAGAACTGTTTCAAAATGCATTAACTTGTTGGGTCTTATTCCAGTAACACGTGATATAGATCGAATATCGTTTCCTATTTGCTGTAAATCACTTGTTAATATCGGGAAAATGGGTCAAATTCAGAGGTATCCAGAAAAGTCTGGATTCAAACTTGCCGCTGCTTGGTGCTGTGTCGTGACGTCACGTGTGGTTCCGCGAATCCTGGTGAGTTCAGCCCGTCCCAGCATCACACAGTATAGCATTGCTGGTATAGCCGCATGTCAACTTTGTGTATCAGTGTTTATCTCCGAGTTTGTCTTGTTTTTTCCCGGATTTCCCGAAGCTTTAAGGATCATGGTGAAGAGGTG